GTCAAATTCAAATTCAAATTCAAATAAATTTTATTGCACAAATATCTCACAGATACTTTGGCAATATGTCGCGAGATGGCGTTGTGTACGATTCAGAGTGTTTACTTCCGTTCCTAGTTCAATTATCAATCTTGAAAACGTGCATCTTGATCAAATTTTTCGAATTTTTATCCTGTTTTTGACTGTATTTCGTCGAAGTACACGCTCGACACTCGCGGCATCTACCGCTCAACCGATTCTACCGCTCTACCGCTCGCCAAAAGCTGGTGCTAAAATTTGGCTCGACGTTTTAGATGGGACCAAATCTGGCGCGGGCCTAATTAGGCTCAGGCCAAAAACGTCCGTGTGAACGCTCGGCTCGAGCCAAATCTGGCGTGTGAACGCGCCTATAGGTGGCGTATAACAGTAAGCCTCCGCGATTGTTCACCGTTGCACTACTTCGTCTCTAGAAAATGCCTTTTTTGGCTTCTTTTTTTCGCCGAAATTCGGCACTAGAGTGCAATAATTAGCATTATGCATCGCACGGTGGAGCCTCGGACGTCGAGAAAGCACTTATCGAATGTAAAATTAACTGTGTAAGTCGTGAACAATTCAGCGATCAGAGTGCGTAGTCCACCAGCGGATCCGGTTGGTGTGTTTTGTGTACGAAGATGTGTTCAGGACAACTTGGCGAAATCGCATCATAAGAGCTGGCAAAAGTTTGCGAGGGCAGCATAGAGCATGAATCTGTAGTTATTTAACATGAATAAAGTGTATGTTTGTGAAGTGCAGTAACAGTGTGAGTGATTTTTAATTAATTTCTGTTCGATGCTTATTCAGGCCTGCAGCCTATGGACGGCCTCTACTATTGTTTAACTACCTATAGGGATAGTGAGGCCATTGCATTGTCGTGCGCGCCATCTAACGGAGCAAATTAAATAAACAATTCAGACGGTTCTTTAGTGGAGACGTCACAATCACATCGCAGTTATCTAATAACAAGTGCCGCAGAGCGACAGCGCTCATCTCTAACTTCTACATGCGTGAGACCTATGGGTGGAGGTGGTGGGATTTGTTAGTCCAAATGTTGTCATCATCACTCACGCCCAAACAGTGGAAGGCACAGGGATGGTAATCAGCAACCTTAATCCAAAAAGGAATGTTCGTTTGGAATCGTTATGGAGTACGAAGTGTGACGTCACGTTGGCAAAGACAACGGCACGGCTGGTTCTACACAAGCCACTGGCTCCATAAGGTTTACTGCGTGAAAATGGTTGTGCGCCGTAAAAACACGCATGTGTGTCGCTGCAGACAGCGGTAAGAGCATCGGTAGCACAAGTCGATCTTACAAATATTAATGAATTTTAAAAAAATTTAATTTTTTTTTTTAAATTTGTGTTGTTGTTTAATTATTTTTATTTTTTTTTTTGTTGCTTTCCACTTCCATCCTTTGGAAATCTTAATAAAAAGCAATAATACTCTCAGAAATGCATGTGTACACAATCGGTACAAAACACGACACGTAGTTAATGTTACCAAAGCATATGATTGTTTAGAACCAGCAGGCTCGTTGTCATGCCACCCGTGACGTCATCACTTCGGTACCTATGGAAGTTGCACGCAGATGGCGCGTTAGCGTTTAAGTGTCTTAAGGTTAAAGAGGAAGCTCCATCGTACGTAGTAGCAACAACTATTTGCAAGACAGAATAGGTAAGCACTCATCCATGTTACCTACGCAAGCCTACAGGCTAAATAGAGAGCTGCCACCTGTAACTAATTAACGCAGCGCAAAACTGACACAGTAATATCACCCACCATATGCACTGGCAGTGGCCACTGCAGTGGCATACGTTACATGTAACACACTGACAGTACAGAATGCCATAGAAATTATACGATTTAAGGAGCGTAAACCTTCTCCAACCAATTTAGCTTTGGAAATTTTCACTGTGACATTTTAGCCTCATACATCCAGGCAGTATAGATTCGACTAGCAACCCGGCAGTCAAAATTCTTTCTAACAGACAGTAGTAACAAATCCATGTTTAACCCTCCTCTTGAGGGTCAAAAGGTTATCCGACACTTACTCTTCGCATCTCAGCAGAAAGTACATTTCATGGTCCTTTCAATAAATCCATAAAAATGCTAGGTCACCGCTGAAACAAAAAAGTTTTTCAATCTCTCGGTCAGACCATGTCCTCGGAAAATGTCTAAAATCTGCCCTGTGCCCCATTGACCTTTGACCTGTGACCTCCAATTTCGGCAGTGATGGCTTTTCCTACCATGATGCTATACACCGACTATCACGAGCCTAGGTCGAGCCGTTTAGATTTGTGCCGCAATTCTGCATTTCCTCCCTATACCTTAAGTTAAGGAGGGAATGTTCCCCCTTCTTTTACACCTCCTGACCTTTGACCTTTGTCCCCCAGCTTCGACATCCCAACTCGTTTTCGGAGTACCCCCCAACGTCCCGACTTTCGAATCCGTACGTCGAGCCGTTTAGATTTGTGCCCAACTGTTGACGGACGCACGCACGGACGGACGCACGCTCGTGCGATTCTACAAGCTGCATCTGACTATGTCAGAAGAGCTAATAAACATAATCATAGCAATCTACATAGACATAAAGCCAAAATACATACAGCGGTGTACCCCGTATTTAAGGAATAATCTTCAAAGTCCAAGGTACTATACCAAAAACGGGGAGATTCAAAGTTAGTCAAAATCGATAGATCAACAGGATGGCAGTAGAAAAGTTTGCAGTACCAGGGATCGAAGTAACCAGAGAAGAAGGAAGACAATACTGATATGGAATGGCAGTAGCGAAAAATCCTCACATGGTTATATTCATGATTTTTTTTTTAATTTATTATTAAATTAATATAGATATAGGGGCAGAGAGAGGGAGGAGGCAGAGAGAGGAAGAGAGAGGGGGCAGAGAGAGAGGAAGAGAGAGGGGCAGAAATAGGAAGAGAGATGGGCAGAGACAGGAAGAGAGCGGGAACAGAGAGAGGAAGAGAGAGAGAGTGAGAAGGCAGAGAGAGGAGAGAGAGAGGAGAAAGAGAAAAGAAGAGAGAGAGGAGGGACAGCGAGATGAAGAGAGAGAGGGACAGAGATAGGAAGAAAGAGAGGGAGAGAGAGGAAGAAAGAGGGGGGTAGAGAGAAGAAGAGAGAGAGGGGGACAGAGAGAGAAAGAGAGGGGGTAGAGAGAGAAAGAGAGAGGGGCAGAGAGAGAAAGATGGTGAGGAACAGAGAGAGGAAGAGAGAGTAGGGGAACAGAGAGAAAGAGAGGAGGCAGAGAGAGGGGCAGAGAGAGAGAGGAAGAAAGAGGGGCAGAGAGAAGAAGAGAAAGAGAAAGAGCGAGGGGCAGAGAGAGAGAGAGAGAGAGAGAGAGAGCAGAGAGAAAGAGGAAGGGAAACAGAGAGAGGAAGTGAGAGAGAGAGAGAGAGAGAGAGGACAGAGAGAAAGAGCGGGACAGAGAAAGGATAGAGAGAGGGGGGTAGAGAGAGAAAGAGAGAAGGGGCAGAGAGAGAAAGAGAGGGGAGCAGGGAGACATAGAGAGAGAGAGAAAGAGAGAATGTGGCCCCCTCTAGTGGTAAGCAGGAGCTGGTTCATTTCGCAGGTGCAACTCACACGTCCGTATATATAACAGCTACGCAGTGCGTGTCATGTACAAAAAAATTAAGATAAATATCTGTAAGTGTAAGATAGCAGTTACGCGTAGTATGACGTATATGGCGGTGTGTGATACATGTAAGTATGAACGCGGAACTGCCTGTGCATCCCAACCACGACTGCAAATATATATAAAATGTAACTTATTATAAAATGTAACACGCCGTTGTCTTTGTCTGAATACGCGCACGACTTCTCGCCAAAGCTGTCAACATCATTTGTTCGCGGTTTGTTTACTCCGTGTGTCGCATGCTCCTGTGTTATCAGCATTCTATGCACAACTCTGCTATTACGCGTGTTTGAATGGTGTGTGTTGTCCGCACATGAATGTTTGATCCCGACCGCGAAAGTATGTGAACTAACGAGAACAAGAACAGCTGACAAATACAACAAGATTAGGATTTCAAGTACACAAATTCTCATTTATTTTACACACAAAAATTATTTAACAAAAATTCGGATTAAATACACTGAACAATAAATTGGCGTGTTACTATTATACCAACAAAATTACTAATCATGAAATTATTATTTCGTATTTTGATTTTATCATCATTATTTACAAGCTAGCAGCGGCAGCTCCCTGCAATGCGGCGGGGTAGCTCTTTGGAGGCAGGGGGGGAGGGGGCGGTGGACGGCCCTGCGACGGCTCCTCCATGGCGGCGGCGGGTATAGCTGCTATGCGGCGGGGTAGCTCTCTGGAGGCGGTGGGCGGTGGACGGCCCTGCGACGGCTCCTCCGTGGCGGCGGCGGGTATAGCTGCTATGCGGCGGGGTAGCTCTCTGGAGGCGGTGGGCGGTGGACGGCCCTGCGACGGCTTCTCCGTGGCGGCGGCAGCTCCCTGCTATGCGGTGCGGAGGCGGCGGCTATGTAGCAGCGGCCGTATCGGATGCTCTGTGGGGTGGAGTTCCGTCGGTGGTTCACAGAATCTGCGCTCTCCTGCAGGACGTGCCCTGAAAACTGGCGACGTCCACGAACAAGGACAAAAAGAGAAAAGAACAAAAGACGACAGAAGGACAAACCCCTAAACTAAAACAAACTACGAAGGATGGCAGTGCGACATCATGGCACACAGTAAGATTGTTTTAGACGATGTAATACTGTCATGCTATACGATTTGATGCAGTCCTGGTTTATGTATTCGCCCAGCATAGATGCGTGTATCACGCGCTCGGTTCTGAATGAGTGCGCCGGTGTTTATTCAGTGAACTGCAGGCAGTAAACTTGCACCCACACTTGTCACACGCGAATGGCTTCTCTCCTGTGTGAGTGTACATGTGTACCTTGAGAGTATCGAGGGTCCTATATCTGTGTTCACATATATCGCATGCATACGGCCTTTCTCCCGTGTGAGTGCGCATGTGTTTCTTAAGCGTACCAGACCTAGAACACCTATATTCACATCTCTCACATGCAAACGGTTTCTCTCCTGTGTGAGTGCGCATATGTATCTTGAGATCACTGCAGCTCCTACACCTGTGTTCACATATATCGCACGCATACGGCTTCTCTCCAGTGTGAGTGAGAATGTGTTTCTTGAGAGTATCGGGGGTCGTAAACCTACATTCACATATATTGCATGCAAATCGTTTCTCTCCCGTGTGAGTGCGCATGTGTACCTGGAGTCTACTAGACGTCACACACCTGTATTCACACGTGTCACACGCAAATGGTTTCTCTCCCGTGTGAGTGCTAATATGTTTCTTGAGATTAATTAGGATCGTAAACCTGGCTCCACATATATCGCACATGCACGGCTTTTCTTTCGGAAGCGGCACATCTCCTGTGTGAGTGCGCATGTGATTCTTTAGATAACTGGAGGACGTGCACCTGTATTCACAACTATCGCACATAAATGGCTTCTCTCCCGTGTGAGTGCGCCTGTGTCTCTTGAGATCACTGGAGGTCGTACACTTGTATTCACATATATCGCATGCATACGGCTTCTCTCCCGTGTGAGTGCGCATGTGATTCTTCAGATTACTGGAGCTCCTACACCTGTATTCACATATATCACACGCATATGGCTTTTCACCCGTGTGAGTGTACATGTGTGTCTTAAGCATATCAGACGTAGAACACTTATATTCACATCTCTCACATGCATATGGCTTCTCTGCTGTGTGAGTGCGCATAACATGTTGCTTGAGATAACGTAGCTTGGAGCCTGCGTATCTACACACACCACACGCGTAGGACTTCTCTCCTCCAGGACGTGGCATATCTGAATGAGAAGGCTCCATCAGACAGATCGCAGGTGCTCAGTTCTGCCTCGTTTCGAGCTCTCGCTAACGTTCTCCTGCGAGAAAAAAATGTCGAAATAAATATCATCATTGACGCACTGCAACACTGCATGTTACTGCACCAGACATAACAAGGTATGCTACGAAGATAGGGTCACAGCTACAAATCCACCAGTAGTGACGTTACCAGATTAGCAATACGCGTGGGTGATGTGTGGAGAGTGGAATAAAAGCTCTTGCATCTCACAGAGAAAACTTCTAATCAAACTATGGCAGGGCTACCGCTGGCATTCGCCACCTTCGCAAAATGCGATGAATAAATAACAGTGGCAATTTTATGACACTAAGTGACGAATACAATTGGCGAATGCTTTAACTGCTCAGAAAATTACGATTGACTAACGAAATAGTCAAATTGCAGTGTCGTGTCATAAAATGTTTTCGTACATCTCTTTTCTCGTACCCATTACCTGTTTATGCCTTGGTTAGCACATACGATAACGTGAACAGTGGCTATAGTTTTTACTAGTGGCTGCAAAATAACTTTGGTGGCTCAAGTCTTAGCTCAAACTTTAAAATATGCAGAGGGAGCCCTGCTATGGGGTGTAAATACAGATAAAGGAGCCTGTTTTTGAAGTCACTTTCGTGGTGTCTCCCCTGCTTTGGAATCTCCTTTATTTCTGAGTCTCCCATTCTTGAAGTCTCCCACACCTTGGAATAACTGGGAGTATGGAATCCACTAACTGAAATGCAGCTCTAATCCTAACAGAATAACCATGACCCTAACCTTAATCCTTACCGAATCAAAGCTGTAACCCTCACCCCAACCGAATCATAACCCTAATCACAGCATAACAGAAGCTCTATCCCTTACCCTAACTCTAACACTTACTCTTACCGTAACTCTAACACTAACCCCAACCGAATTGTAACCCTAATCACAGCATAACAGAAGCTCTAACCCTTACCCTAACTCTAACACTTACCCTTACCCTAACTCTAACACTAACCCCAACCGAATTGTAACCCTAATCACAGCATAACAGAAGCTCTAACCCTTACCCTAACTCTAACACTTACTCTTACACTAACTCTAACAGTAA